ACATGGTGCTTGTTAACCTGCTTTTTGAACCTAATGTCTCATGGCCACTTTCTAAGTCAATGCAAAGAAAAGTGAGTCTCCAAATGTTGTATCAACAGCATCATCAGGACCTGGGAACTGGTTAGAAATCCAAATTCTTGGGCCCCATGCTAGACTTATTTAATTAGCAATGAAGATATCTGAATTGTAATTGGCCCTCTAAGTCAAGGATGGCAAACACTCAGCTTAAGGGCCAAATCCTGTTTGCCTCCTGCTTTTGCAAATACAGTTTAAGGGAATCCGGGCAGGACACAGTGGCTCTCCTCTGTAATCCCAGCACTTTGGGAGGCTGAGGCCAGGAGTTTGAGATCAGCACGGGCAACACAGCAAGACAGTTAAGACTTGACGCTTACATTTTTCTCTCAAAGGGTGGGGAAAATAGTACCTAAACTCATGAACTGAAGTATGCAGGGGCCACCACCCAAGGGCTTTTGCAAAGGTTAGGTTTTCTGTTAGGGTCTTGGGAAACCTTTGAGAATGTCAATTCTTTGGAAATGGCTTATTTTAAGGGATTTGAACATGGAAAGGTCTTTGGGAAGGTCTGTTTGGGATGCGTTGCTCTTGTAAAGTATTTGGGGATATCTGTCATCATGGCATCTTTGATAGGTTTTTCTGGAGGTTGTTATTGTAGGGTTTCTGGTACTGACTACTATTGTAGTGCCTAGGAGATGTTGAATTTGTCATCATATCCTATTTGGGTAAGTCTATTCAGAGGATCTCCAAGAAGGACAGCTTCCTGTCAATATTCTCTTTCCCTACAGCATCCCTCTTCATCGAGTCCAACCTGAACGCAGGAACCTCAACCTACTGAGGGGATGGAGAGAACCAGCAAAGGTCCCCAAGTTGGGGGCCCCATCCCCTGGGGACAAGCCCACCTTTATACCTCTCTCGAACTACAGGGATGTGAGTCACAGCCCCACACAGCCCTCACCCCTGCGCCTTTGAGCCAAACTCATTTACTCTCTTCTTTTGCTATCAGGTCCAGTATTTTGGGGAAATTGGGCTGGGAACGCCTCCACAAAACTTCACTGTCGTCTTTGACACTGGCTCCTCCAATCTCTGGGTCCCGTCCAGGAGATGTCACTTCTTCAGTGTGCCCTGCTGTGAGTTTCTATGCGGAAGAACAAGGCTGAATGGGGGTGAAGGGAGAAGGCAGGGCTGGACCTCAGCTTCTCAGAGGATTTTGAGGAATTGTTCTTTTATGATGCCCTCACAGGTCAGAAAGTCAAAGGGGCAGTAGGCATTGGGGAGATTCCCTACCCCAGTGACACCCTTCTGACCTCTAACCTAGGGTTACACCACCGATTTGATCCCAAAGCCTCCAGCTCCTTCCAGGCCAATGGGACCAAGTTTGCCATTGAATATGGAACTGGGCGAGTAGATGGAATCCTGAGTGAAGACAAGCTGACTGTGAGTGACCTTTGACTCACAGAAGTCTTCAGCCTAGGAGAACCCCATGGTCTAAGATCATCTGGCTTAGGGAGGGGCTTGAGGAGGAGGAGCTCCCCAAATCAATGGATTGGGCTTTTCAAGTGGGGTGGAGGGCCTGCCTTTCGGAGTGAAGGGATGGTGCATCACAAGGAAGGGGAGGGGCTTCCTGGGTGAAGAGGTGGGGCTTCTCAAGCAGGGGGAGGAGCTTCCTGGGAGAAGAGGTGGGGCTTCTCAAGCAGGGGGAGGAGCTTCCTGGGTGAAGAGGTGGGGCTTCTCAAGCAGGGGGAGGAGCTTCCTGGGTGAAGAGGTGGGGCTTCTCAAGCAGGGGGAGGAGCTTCCTGGGTGAAGAGGTGGGGCTTCTCAAGAGGCAAAGTTTCCTAGGAAGTTGGGGCTTTCATCCAGATGTCCCCAGACCTAGGATTCATGCCTTGGTTTGGGAGCCCTCAGGACATGTGGTTATTGTCATCCAAAAAGTAACTGGTCACATCTCAATCTACCCCTAGATTGGTGGAATCAAGGGTGCGTCAGTGATTTTCGGAGAGGCTCTCTGGGAGCCCGGCCTGGTCTTCACTTTTGCCCATTTTGATGGGATATTGGGCCTCGGTTTTCCCATTCTATCTGTGGAAGGAGTTCGGCCCCCGATGGATGTACTGGTAGAGCAGGGGCTACTGGATAAGCCTGTCTTCTCCTTTTATCTCAACAGGTACTGGGAAGGGTGCACCTATCTATGAGTCCTATCCCCAAGAAGGAAGTGAGTCTTCCTTCAGGAAGTCTCTTACTCCATAAAGAAAGTCCCACCTCCACTCAGGAAGTCACTGACCCAACGCAGGAAGTCTCACTCTCAGAGTCACCCACTTATACTCTCCATTCAGGAAGTCAGCCATCCAATATAGGAAGTTGCATCCTCCATGCAGGAAGTCACCTACCCTATAAAGAAACACCTCAACCGTATTTGAAGTCCCAGAGCTTAAGTGACAACTTAAGACATACTAAGGAAACTCACATCAGTTCAAAATGCTCCATGTTTCAAAATCAAACAAGGAAATTCCATGCCACACCCAACAAAATACTCAGGAGCTTTCTCTTCCTTACCAAGAAAGCTCAAATCCCATTTGAGAACACTGACCAGAAGTCAGGAATTGCCTGATTTAATCCAGGAAGTCCTACTGACTTGCTAGGAAGTTCAATATTATGCTCAGAAGTCCCACTCAACATCCAAGAAGTTTCCAAGAAGTCTCCACTTTCCCTCCCAGAGGCCCATCACACACAGTCAGAAAATCCTATGCCCACTCAGTTACCCTGACATCCAACCCACTCTAGCAGTTCTACCAACCACTTAGTAGATCCTGCTCTCCTCTACTTTCCAGGAAGTCTCCATCCCCGTTCCCATCGCTCTCAGCCAACTCAGGAAGTCTAACACCTCTCTAGATATCACAACAGGCAATTCAGAAATTCTCTCCTCCTACCCAGGAAGCCACCCCACCCCCGCACAAGTCACACCTTCAAGAGCCAATTCCAAGACGCCACTGCTCTACTTGGTTACTATGATATTCAGCTCAGGAAATTCCCCCAAAACTCTACCTTCCACAGTCAAATGAAGTCTCCTCTTCACTTCAGGAAGTCCCCAACAGCCTAAAGCGCCATGCTTTTCTTGCTTGGCTTCCAGTCCCAACATCTAGGCCCTTCCTGCATCTCACTACCCCGTGGGAACCCCAGAAACAACCCATCTGGTGGGAAGTGCCTCCCCTAGGCATACCTAGGGCTGAGGGAAGGTCAGTGACACTGACATCTACACTTTCTATACTCTGCCCCTGCAGGGACCCCGAAGAGCCTGATGGAGGAGAGCTGGTCCTGGGGGGCTCAGACCCGGCACACTATATCCCACCCCTCACCTTCATACCAGTCACAGTCCCCGCCTACTGGCAGATCCACATGGAGCGGTGAGGGACTTGGTCTCCTGGCTCTGGAGCTGGAGGCTGGGGGCCTGGACTCCTGGGACCCGGCTTCTGATGACTGCCTACTTCCCCCTCAGTATGAAGGTGGGCCCAGGCCTGACTCTCTGTGTCCGGGGCTGTGCTGCCATCCTGGATACGGGCACGTCCCTCATCACAGGACCCACTGAGGAGATCCGGGCCCTGCATGCAGCCATTGGGGGATATCCCCTGCTGGCTGGGGAGGTGAGGTCCCAGTCTCTGGTGGATACGGGCTGAGGAGGCTGATGGCAGTTTGACAGTGAACATCAAAGGGCCTGAGAGTGGGAAGCAAGTATTTAAGGGGCATTCCAGGGCAGGTGGCACTGGACTTCGTGACAGATAGTCTGGAGGGTGGTGGGAGGAATTCAGGACACTTTCCAAGTGTCTACGCTGTGACTCTGTGGATGGTGGTGGGGTGAGGTGTGCTTGAGACAGCAGAAGTCTAGGCGGCAGGGCCTCTGCACACAGGACGCTGAATACCCAGGTGCTCAATACGGAAATTACCCCATGGCACTGGGGAGCCACGGAAGGGATTGAGCAAAGCAGGAATCTCTCATCTTCACTGGTTCTCTTCTCCCCCAGTACATCATTCTGTGCTCGGAAATTCCAAAGCTCCCCGCAGTCTCCTTCCTTCTTGGGGGTGTCTGGTTTAACCTCACGGCCCAGGATTACGTCATTCAGGTAGGTGGCCATCACCATGACGCCATAGGGACGTCATACGACGGTTTCGGAGGGTAGAGCTAAGAGACGTCACTAGGATGGGAAGGGGGTGCAGAAACATTTCTTGTCCCTGTGATGGCAGTTTGTTGGCGAACACCAAAGAGCCCGAGGGTGTGGGGAAGCGGGGAGCACGGGCTCCCAGGGAAATGGCCGTCCCTGTGCCCGCGACACCCAGTTGTCTTATTGTCGCCTTGCAGACTACTCGAAATGGCGTCCGCCTCTGCTTGTCCGGTTTCCAGGCCTTGGATGTCCCTCCACCTGCAGGGCCCTTCTGGATCCTCGGTGACGTCTTCTTGGGGACGTATGTGGCCGTCTTCGACCGCGGGGACACGAAGAGCGGCGCCCGGGTGGGCCTAGCGCGCGCTCGCACTCGCCGAGCGGCCCTGGGACTGGGCGAGACCGCGCAGGCGCAGTTCCCCGGGTGACGCCCACGTGAAGCGCATGCGCAGTGGGTGGTCGCCGAGGTTCCCCCTGCCCAGTAAAAATCCACTATTTCCATTGAGCGATGCTGCCTAGGTGGCTTCTTTTCATAGCGTATTTGTTAAAGAGAAAGCTTTGTGACCGGGCGTGGTGTCTCACGCCGGTAATCCCAGCACTCTGGGAGGCCGAAGCGGGTGGATCATCTGAGGTCAGGAGTTCGAGACCAACCTGGCCAACATGGTGAAACCCCGTCTCTACTAAAAATACAAAAAAATTATCCGGGCATGGTGGTGCATGCCTGTAATCCCAGCTACTCGGGAGGCTGAGGCAGGAGAATGGCTTAAACTCGGGAGGCCAAGGTTGCAGTGAGCCGAGACCGCACCATTGCACTCCAGCCTGGGCAACAACGAAACTCCGTCTCAAAAATAAATAAATAAATGAATAAATAAATAAAGAGAAAACGTTGTGCCTGTACCCACGGAGTTGAGGAAGTGGGAGGCGAAGGGTATCGCCCGTTTTCTCTAGGACGCACCCTGGTGAGGGGTTTTGTAATACGAGTCCCATGAAGCCCCTCGCCTACGCTGCCTTTCGTCAAAAGCTCCCGACGCCGTGGAGCATCACGGTCGTTGTAGTCCACGCCGTGGTCACGCCCTGACGGAGGCGGGCGCAGCCACAACATGCGTGGGAGGTGACAGGTCGCGACGGCAGCGATAGTTGGCAGTGGGGGGGGGGGTGACTGTAATTGGTAAGGGTTTACCAGTTCCTGTTCAAGGGGGCAAGGATACTATTCCCCCGGATCTCATCTCCTGTTTCCCCTCTCTCCCTCCGAATTCTGAGACCCCGGGGGAGCTCTGAGCCTCCGGGTTCGGGGAGCGGTGCTGCTCCATCCGCGGAGGTGACGTCAGTCCCCCTCCTCAGCCTCTTGCCACCCAGAGCTAATTTGATACAGGTACGTATCCAATTGATTCGAAAAAACGACCGGTCGAAAAATCAGGCAATCCTTTATCTAATCGCATCCTGAGGCTTCTGGAAGAATTGTGTTGAGCGATTCTGGGGACCCCGAAGAGAGTCAGGCCTGAGCCCCATCTCGAGAGTGTGCTGCTCTGATGGTGGAGGCCGACCTGATCACAAACCGCTAAGCGACTAGACATGGGGAGATTCAGGACCCAGTAAGCTCGGGCAGGAGAGTCAGGGAGGAAGCTTCTGTTCTTTTCCTTTTCCCGTGGGGTGCAGAGAGCGAGCAAGTCGGCATTCCAGGCGGTGGGAAGCGCCAGGGCAGAAGCAGGGAGCTGGAAAGAGCCTGGTGTTCCAGGAGTCCCGCTCTAGAAACAGGGGTGGCCGCTGGGGAATCTTGGCTGGGAAAATAGGCCCACACCTCCACCTTGTGACCAATTGGGAATTTGCAGGCACGGCTTCTCAGAAACTACTTAAGGGCGCTTTGGGTGAAGTTGGATGGGGTGCTGCAGACGGAAAGCGTGGGGGGCGAGTTGAAGGGGCCCCAGATCGAGTGCTCTGAGAAAACAAAGGGTGGGTGGTGGTGGTGGTGAGAGTTATCATAGAGACACTGTCCGCTGTTTCAGAAAAATTCCCCAAAGCAAGGAGTGCACAAAGTGGATCTTTACTATTATTATTATTATTTTATTGTTATTATTATCGAGACAAGGACTCACTCTGTCGCTCAAGCTGTCGTGCAGTGGCGCGGTAATGGCTCACTGCAGCCTCGAACTCCCTGGCTCAAGCGATCCTCCTGCCTCAGCCTCAGGTGTAGCAGGGACCACAGGCATGGGCCACCACGCTTGACTAATTTTTAAAAGTTTTGTAGAGACTTTTTTTTTCTTTTTTTTTGAGATGGAGTTTTGCTCTTGTTGCCCAGGCTGGAGTGCAGTGGCACCATCTTGGCTTACCACAACCTCCACCTCCTGGGTTCAAGTGATTCTCCTGCCTCAGCCTCCCAAGTAGCTGGGATTACAGGCATGTGCCACCGCACCTGGCTAATTTTTGTATTTTTAGTAGGGACGGGTTTTTTCCATGTTGGTCAGGCGGGTCTCTAACTCCAGACCTCAGGTGATCCTCCCGCCTTGGCCTCCCAAAGTGCTGGGATTACAGGGGTGAGCCACCGCGCCCGGGGTTTTACCATGTTGTCTTGGTCATTATTTATTATTCACTATGTGCCAGGCTCTGTCCTAGGTGCTGGGGACACAGTGGATAATTAAACGGATGAAGATCTTTGCCCTCATAGGGATTACACTCGAATGGGGAAATAGGCATTAAGAAAGGAAGTAAATTACCAACATTGTGGGCTGAAGAGAGGCCCCCAAAAGATATTCACACCTCAGTCCCTGGGGTTGTGAATACTACCTTATGTGAGGAAAAGGACTTAGCAGATGTAATCAACTGAAGGAGTGTGAGAACAGGGTCATCCGAGAGGACCCTAAATGTCATCACAAGGGTCCTTATAAGAGGGAGGCAGAGGGAGACGGATTCAGAAGTTCACGTGAAGACGGAAGCAAGACGCCAGGATGCTGGCTTTGAAGAAGGAAGAAGGGGCTCCTGCAGAGCTCCTCCAGAAGCTGGAGAAGGCGAGGACGTGGATTCTCCTCTAGAGCCTCCAGAGGCTCTGCCAACATGGCTCTGCAAACACGGCACTGCAAACATGGCACTGCAAACACAGCAGTTTCAACACTGAAATCATTTTGGACTTCTGGCTTCCATAATTGTAGGACAGTGAATGTGTGATTGAGTGATTGACTTTGTTGCCCAGGCTGGAGTGCAGTGGCACAATCATGGCTCACTACAGCCTCCACCTCCCAGGCTCAAGCGATCCTCCTGCCTCAGCCTCCCAAGTAGCTGGGACCACAGGCATGCACCACTACGCCCAGATAATTTAATTTTTTTTTTTTTCCTAGAGACAAGATCTCCCTTTGTTGCCCAGGCTGGAGTGCAGTGGCACCATCT